GATGAGACAGGAGGATAACAAGTTCAAGACCAGCTTGGGAAAATTAACAGACTGTTCCAGACTTACAATTAATAAACAAGCAAACTAACTAAGCAAACAAGTGAATGATAATTAAATAAATAAGTAAGTTTGTTTTGGTGCACTTGGCTAGTATGTTTGAGGCCCTGGATTGATCCCCAGGGTGTTCATGCACATACATTCACACACACACACAAAGAGGAAGAGAGAGAGAGAGAGAGAGAGAGAGAGAGAGAGAAACCATAGCCTCTGTGGAGTTTCAGTTTACAAATGTTGATCCTGAGATCCTGTGAAGTGCTTCTCTGTGTTATTTACCCCTGTTGTTCATCTTGTGGGGCCAGGACACAATTGCTGAAGGTCCTTTATACTTGGCTTATGTTCTGGAAGGATTCAAACCACATTACCCTACACTAGATACCCACATTTACCAAGGACAGAAGTAGGCCAACAAGTCCTTTTTGAGTAAACAATTGCTTGGTTAAAACCTACCATTTTTGGTCAGTTGTGGTGGCACACATCTTTAATCCTAGCACTTAGGAGGCAGAGGCAGGTGAATCTCTGTGAGTTTGAGGCCAGCATGGTCTACAGAGTGAGTTCCAGGACAGCCAGGGCTACACAGAAACCCTGTCTCAAAAAACCAAAACAAACAAACAAACAACAACAACAAAACAAAACCAAAACAAAAAACCCCTACCATTTTAAAGCATTTAGTTCCAGGCATGATGGTGCATGACTTTAATCATAGCAGAGGCAGGCAGATCTCTGTGGGTTCCAGGACAGCTAGGGCTACATAGAGGGATGTTATACCCATGAAGCAGCCTCTTCTTATCACTTCCAAGCCCCGGATAACCACTAATTTGCTTCCAGTCTCTTTATTTGCCTTATTATTATTATTATTAACATTTTATATGAATGGACTTATGCGTGTTTTGCCGTATCTGTTGGGTTCTCTTTAGTGAAGTTTTGACAAAGACCCAGCTCTTAGGTCTGCATTCTCCTGCTCTTTCAAAGCTGTTCTCTATCACTGACCAAACCCCATAGGTGTTTTAAGTAACTATGTGGTTATCTGGAAACCTCCAGCCCACATAAGTAGAAGTTCCATGGAATACAGTAAAACAGTGTCACAAATGTGCTTGCTATTGCAATGACTTGACCTGAGACTTTGGGAAGCTGAAGCTGGCCTGAGTTTAGCTGAGTCTCACCTTTTCCTGAAAGTCATAGGTGACTGAATTGTTGGTACAACTTGGTGATCCTTGTTCATCCTCTTGTGCTGTAGGAGGGCTTGGCATTTTAGGCTACTTTGATTTAATAATAGGACATTTCAGGATGGGCTAAGTCCTACAGGGGCCTCCTAAAGGGAAGGTTGTACTGTCTGCCTTGCTGCAGAACCCTCACTGGTCTTACAGGAAAAACTCTGAAATGAGGACTCACAAGGAAATAGGGACTTTGTCTTGGAAATCCCAGGGGGTGGGTACTCACTAGCTACAGAGACAGCTGCTGACAGCCCCTTTAGCACCCTCAGACCTCTCACTTGCCCCGTGGGCTCTGCAATCCCTTTCACACTATTGCATAGAAGTTGGATTCCAAGAATCTCTAGTCTGTCCCCCCATTGCCATCTCTGGAGATCAGACATATCACTGCACGGAAAGTGTGTCACCCATTTGCTTCAGTGCTGCTTGTCTTCAGTGTGGCATTTACTGCTTGAAACTCTGATACTATCTTGATATCCAAACTCTGTTCTAATTTTTAAGCCCTTTTCTTTGTTTTGTTGTAGACTATGACTTTTTATATGACTGGTCAGTCTGGTCTCATTCTTCCTCTCTGTCTTTTGCACCTCTTTGCGGAGTTTGGAATGATTAGTCCTACTCTTCCTTCAGAGTTTGCTCTGAGGCCCTGCAGCTTCACACACACCTCCCACTCTCAGCAGCTTAGCTCCTCTTGCTGCCCACATTAAATAGCACATTGCCCTTGACTATAACCAGTTTAAAGCTAGAAACCTTTTTTTTTCTGAAGATTTTTCTCTTTTAGTGTTTTCTGTCTCAGGTGGTTAGCTCTCAGAGGAAGGGGCCCAGAACAAGTGGGTAGAGTGGGAAGTCACCGCGGAACCATTGGGCTGAGTGTACTTGCTTGCCTATGTTGTCTTGGAAAACAAGGTCATTTACCTTGAACTTTTGTTTTCACGTGTAAAATAAGTCAGGAATAATATGCATTAGCTTTCTATTTGCTGCTACAAGTTATTACAGGTCTGCTGGCTTAGAACAACACTGATGTTGATACACTAGCCTACCTGGAGAGTCCAGGAAATCTTCATCGCATCATGCTTAGTCACATCTGTCAGAGTGTCTTACTGTATAAGGTAAATTCCTATGTCTGAAGGTTAGGATATGGATGACTTTGGGGCTATTATCTTATCTATAGTGGGTTCTATAGTGGAACCTAGAAGGTTCTTTGTTTTGTTTTGTTTTTCCGCAAACAGGGTCTCACTATATATGCAGCCCTGGCTGTCCTGGAACTCACTAGGTATACCAGCCTGACCTCAAACTCACAAGAGATCCACCTTCCTCTGCTTCCCAAGTGCTGGGATTAAAGGTGTGTCCTAGAAGGTGCTTAATACTAACCTAAATATATTTCTTCAACTGAAGAGTTTAGCACATCAGACTGGAGAGATGGATCAGCAGTTAAGATCATTAGATGCTCTTCTAGAGGACCTGAGTTTAACTCCCAGCACCCACATGGTAGCACACAATCATCTGTAACTCCAGTTCCAGGGGATCTGACTCCCTCTTCTGACCTCTGAGGAGACCAAGCACACACCGAGTGTACAGATGTACATGCTAGCAAACCACTTGTACACATATAAATAAAAAAATAAATATTAAAAAGCTAGGCTTATAACTTGGAAAATTATGAGAATTTTCTCTTTCCAGATTGCTCTTGGGTTCTGGAGACTGTGGTATGTTACACTATTCCTTAGAGAGTCTTAAACAAATGTCTGCTCACCCCCGGTAGAGAATCAGGGACAGACCAAAGCACAAATGCCACTTAGGTCCATGTTGACAAACCAGTGAGTTTATTGGTGCCGCTTACAGGAGCAGGAATGACTTAAAGACAGCTGCATCACCAAAGCCACCCCAGCATGGATGATGACTGACAAAAGCTGGAATCCTGGAGCACAGTGCTTGACTTGCAGGCAACTCGCCTGGTCAGAAGTGTCTTTGTCAGGCTACTTAGCTAGTCTGGGACTCTTCCAGGAAGCTTGGCAGATCTGCTTCTTCTAGGCAGCGTGGTTGATCTCTTTGTCCTTGGTAGTCTTTATGACTTACATAAGCTTGGAGAGGGAGGTGCCTTGTGCATTTGGTCAATTTCATGGACTTCCTGAGACTCTAAAGATTACATCCTGAATCTTAATGTTCTTGCCTTTAAAACATTTGAGTCTTTTTTTTTATTTTGAAGATCTAGTTTTATATTATGTACATCTATGTTTTAAACCATGTGTATGTCCACAGAGACCACAAGAGGATGTTGATCCCCAGCAACTATGTTAAGGATGATTGTGTACTGCTGTGTGGATGCTGAGAATTAAACCCTGGTCCTTTGTAGGAGCAACAAGTAACCTAACCACTGAGCCAAATCTCCAGCCCTAGAACTTCTGAGTTTTAATATGCTTTCTTTTAGAACTTACTTCGTCTTAAGGAACCTGGGAAGAAATTACTACAGAATAGCCTGATACAAGTCAATGCTAGAACTATGAGAATAGACCTTAGGAATTTCTGTTGTTTCCAGACTTTTATATGAGAAAATAAGCTGATGCTCCTCTACCTAGTTGTTTTTTTTGGGGGGTGGGGGGTGTTGTGTGTGTGTGCTGTGTAGATTTTGAAAAGACCTCCAAGAATGGCATCTATTTCCCAATAACCATTTGTAGTCTTTAACTAGCCTGCTAATTATATTGATAGTTTGCCGCATTTCCAGTTCTCTCATAAAGTCCTGAATATGTCTCTCGGCACTCATGGATAAGTTAATGTGACCTTGAGATCTAGAAGCCAAACGGGATACTATCCTAGTTAGTTTCATTTATGATTGCTTAGTGTTAGATTTATGATATTTTATAGCAATTTAGATTGCCGTTTATATGAGGTTCTTTCTCTTCTTACCTCTTGTTAGGTAGCTTCCATCTTGGGACAACCATTACTTTCAAGGCAGAGAGGTAGCACCCATAAAATATATTTATAGGGGCTGAAGACTTGACTCAGTCCATAAAGTGCTTGCTGTGCAAGCATGAGGACTGGAATTCAGTCCTCAGTACCGTGTGAAAACCAAGTGTGGTCGTATACATGCGTGATGCCAGTACTGGGTAGGCAGAGACAGGAGGATCCCCGAGACTTACTGGCCAGCCACTCTAGCCAAATTGAAAAGCTCCAGGTTTACTTCAAGACTCTGTCTCAAAAAATAAGGTGGAGAGAGAGAGATTGAGAAGACATTTGACGTCAACCTCTGGCCTTCATATGCATCTACAAATGTGCACACACATGAATGTGTGCATATATACACATATATATCTTTATTTAACTTTTATGGGTCTGGATATTTTGTTTGCATGTATCTGTGTAGCACATGCAGGGCTGGTGCTTATGGAGGCCAGAAGAGGGCATCAGATCCTTTGGAACCAGAGTCATAGATAGTTGTGAACCGCCATGTGCATGTTGGGAGTTAAACCTGGGTCCTCTGGAAGAACAGCCAATGCTCTTTACTGTTAAGTTCTTTCTCCAGTCCTTATAATATCTATTTCTAGTAGTTTTGTGTTCTCCCCAGTGCTCAGTTCATTGTAATGAAATGGAATTCTCCGTGGATTGAAAAACGATCCCTGCCTTAAAGTTTAAAGTTTTGAGGTAGCTTTGGCTTAGTATACAATGAGAAATGCACAAAGGGAGTCAAGCCAGTCTGTGGCCAGCCTGTTGACATTTTCTTTCCACTTTGTCTCTTAGATGCACCCACTGGGCCTGTGTAATAACAATGATGAAGAGGACTTGTATGAATATGGCTGGGTAGGAGTGGTGAAGCTCGAACAGCCAGAATTGGACCCCAAACCATGTCTTACTGTACTGGGCAAGGTAAGCACCAGACCTTCTGTGTCACTGCCATTATGGTTGGTGTTTTTCACTTAAATGTTTTCCTGAGTTTCAAATAACTGGTTCTGGAGAAGAGTCATGCTGGCATAGCATTCCGAGTCTGCTCTACTCCTGCCTGCTGCGTGGCCTTGGGCAAGTTGCTCTCTCTAAGAGTCTCAGCTTCTTCTCTGTGAAATGGGTTGATACTAGAAACCATAGTACTGTATTTTACACCTTTGGGGCCAGATGTTTTAGACCTAAGATTTGGGAAGTTTGGGGAAGTATTAAGGTGTATTTATTGTCTATTAAGTAACCTTGGGGACCTAGGACCATACTCAGTAATCACACATATTCTTATGTGTGTAGCAAATCATATGGATATTCACATTAAGTGGGATAACTAAACTCTAAATAGACTCCTGTTAGCCTGCAGCTGCTTTGCCTCCAAATGAGTTCAGGTTCATTAATTTTTGTTGCCAAGTACATTATGGAAAAACTCCTAGAATTTAGAGTTTCCTTGGTTTCAGAACAGCGGACAGCAATTATGACCCTGCATTAGAACTTACCTCACAGGTGACCAGGAGATGAGGTGAGATACAATGCCTGGTGCCTCATGTGCCACTATTGGCTGTTGGCACACATTTAGAATCACTAGCAAACAAAACAAAAGCTTTTTAGCTGCTCAGGTCAGTATAACTTCTGACTACAGTGTAAGATAGAAATAAATTTGCTTTGGAAATCCATCTTTCAGGAACTTTTAATCTGATAGGTCATAATCTGTTTTAAAGTGGATCATTTTGTTAAAAGAAAAGGTTTTGTGAAAGTAATTTGAAGTTTTGGTTAGGGGAAAGGTAGTCCCTAAGAGTAGTCTTACTGCCTAGACATTTTCTGGTCCCCAAAGCTGCAGATCTGTGTACCCTGGGAAGATAACTGAGTCCTGTTCCTGGAAGCTGAGGCTCTCTTGGATATCCAGGCCAGAGAAGAGGTGGCACTGGTGCAGGGAGCCCTCACCAAACGTAAAGAGTTTCTTGCCAGCCACTCCTAAGAGGTCTTTAGTCATGGAGACCCTCAGAAGCCTAATTTGCTTTTTGAGAAGCTCCACGACTCTTGTCACGTTTTCCTGCCCTTTCATTGGAGGAGAAAAACTAATACAAATTATAGCCTGTTTGGTTTATGGTTCACTAAGTTGAATCAAGGTGTTTGAGGTGGCTCAGCCTTGATACTTGATCATTTTAGTAGTTGACCAGAGCTGTTTAATGATGGTTAGGAGCAGTAACTCTCTTGAGAGTTAGTGTTTCTTAGGAGAAGTGCCAGCTACATCCAAAGTGTAGGAACAGTGCTCTCCTTGTGGGTGTCTGCTTCAAATGTGCCATTTGATTCTGCTTTGCTTAAGCTGCTGCTGCACCATGCTTAGCTTACTGGCTTCATTTGTTTTCCCCAGCCCTGTGGGGCTCCATCTCTTGTGTCTATAAATGGGTTGTAACAGGGCCCAAAGTATAACCTTTATTGTCCTCAGACAGTTTAGTGACAGGCATTTGTTGAAGTCACTCAGAATCAAACTGTTTCCTCCACTGCCTGAATCAACTGAACCATGGTTTACTTGGTGAGTTTTATATGGTTTGGCCTGCTGGTCTAGGAAGCCAAGGGAATAGAAACCTTAGATATGTATTGAATCATGGAGCACTTCTTGTGTTTACTCTTCATGAAATGGTTATTGAATGTGGGGGACTAGGAGCTTAGCATGTGGCTCTACCTTCCTAAGAGCAGCAGTTTATTTCTGTTGGGCAAGGCTCGGACTGGGAGGACTGTACAAGGCAGCACATATTTGCTGTTTGCCTTAAGAATTGGCATCTGAATAAAATCATTAATAAAGATGACTGGGCCAGACAAATAAGATGGTTTACTGTTTGCTTTAAACATGGGTTGGTAGAGGAGATGTGATGAATCCTCTTCTTCCTCTTTTTCCTTTTTCTTCCTCCTCCTTCTTTTTCACAACATAAAGTTCATTAACTTTGCCAACTCTGTTTTCTACTTTTATGGTTTCCCAAGGGTAGAAACAGAAGGACTCCGATGTGAGAGAAAGCACAGCAATCCTTCCAGCAGCTCAGCACGCCATTCCCCTGTAGACAGAATGATTTTCCTTCTGTTTCTTGGCTTTCAAAGACTATGGCAAGGAGTTGAAGGCAAGGAGAAACACAGAGGCATAGGAAGTGGACTGGGAGTGTAGCTTGGTGGTAGAGCTCCCTCCCGCCTAGCATGTATGAGGCCCTGGGTTCCATCACCAGCACCACAGTAAAGAGAAAGAAGTTAAAAGGCATAGGAAGAACACAACAGCCAGCCTAGTGTGCAGGTGGGGGTGCAAAACTGCTGTGAATGGATGTGGAAACTTGTCTCTGTCACCACAGAAAAGCCTATCGGAAACCAGAAGGGCTAGACACAGACCTCTCCTGCCCACAGAAAATCATGAGCTGAAACCCCAAAGATTTTAAAAAACATAAATGCCTCTCTAGGAGTTCAAATTAAGTTTTATTTAAAAAAAAAAATCATTACCTTGGTTTATTACCAAGGGGTTTTGAGTTTCAGCACTTTAAACTCATGAGAGAAAAATAATTTATGATCACATTCTTCTAATCTTTTTAGTTCTATAGAAGGTACAGACAAGTCAGCTAGGTGGGTAGAGCTGGGGTAAGGATAAACTCCACAGGGAAGAAGCAGGCCAGGACACCTAACTAAGCCCCACTTCAGGCCAGGCTCAGGTAAACCTCTGCTACCGTTGGGTGGTTTCTTTTGCACTTAGTGTAGAGATGCTGTTCTGGGACCTTGTCTATCTGATACCCTGAGCTTCTGGATCATGGTTAGAATCTTCCCTAATACCCTTATTACAGATCTGAAAGATTGAACCCTGTGGAAACAGTGGGATTGACATTTGGGGACAGCTTACTTTTGAGAAGGGTCTTAAATCATTCCCAAAGTGCAAGATTCTGTATGCCTCAGGCATTTCAGCTCTTCAGCTTTGTAGTGTTTATTAAGCATCTTACAGGGCTGCAAAGAATTTAAGAGCTTCATCTTAATTTGACTATTTATGACCCATCAAATTCGTGGAGACTCTCATGTCGGGACACACATGATGTACTAGAGTTTCCAGCAGAATTTGCTTAGCCTGAATTCTGAAATTCCAGGCTGGATAAGCCCCAAGCCCCAGGTAGACCAATTCTGTGCTTGCTTTTTGAAATACAGTACATCCAGCAGGCCTGGGCCTGCCTGTGTCCAGTGCTTCAGAAGACGGTATGGGGAAGTTAATGAAAGGATATTTAGAGGATTTTATGTAATAAATGCCACCTTGGCTGAGTGACCTTAGAAAGGCAACTTCAGTTCTTGGTGCCTTGCTCCTTTGTAAAGCACTGCTTTTCTGGTTGCTGTAGGGCTGTGAGGTGTTAGCAGAGCACTTAGCTCAGAACCTGGCTCATTATAGCATTGGGTGAGTGCAGAAGCAGCTATCCTGGGTGGGTGCTTACCGCCTGCTAGGAGCTGTAGATGTCTTTGCTTATCACATTGACACCTTGTCTACATTTCCATGTTACGGTCAGAAAACTGAGGCCTAGTGAGCTTCTTCACATCTGAGATCACAGAGCTCCCAAGAGCCTGAAGCTGAACCAGAACTATTCTGGGCTTCAGCAGTGTTGACTTCTCTTGACTCCTCTTGTCTCGGCCAGTCTTCTAGATAATAAACACCAGCTGCTTTCAGTATCACCCAGGTATGGTCCAGACTGGTGTTTCTACATGGTAGAATCACAACTCTCCACAGACAAGGGATTGGCTCTAAAGATGAGCAATATCACAGAACCTACATCTGGTACTGCCACTCCACACCGAGTCAGCAGCCCCTTCCTCGGATCTCTTTGTAGAGCTGCTTTATCTCCACCCACCCACCCCCACCCCCCATCCTGCCTACTCAGTGGGAGATACAACCCTAGCATTCCTGGTTTTAAGTCTAAAAGAGTCCAAGAAGGGGATTCATTGGCCCATCTCAAATCAGGCACTCTTGAGGTTGGTCAGCTGTTCTCTGGGGCTGAAAGCACACTATGGAATTAAGCCTGTCTTACCTTGTCATGTATGAAGGTAAGAAGAAAATGTTTTCTTTAGAGGGCTAAGGACTGGGGTAGTGCTGGGCTGCTATCCCTATGCAGGCACCTGTAGTTGCTAAGTCAAGAATGTTGTCACAAGCTGGTGGGTGGTGGTCTCAGTACCAGGTTGCCTGAAGTTGGGTCTATTGAGAGAAGACTTGGGTTACATGTGTTTGCGTAGTAGAGATCTGTATATGGATGTGGCCTTGGTTACTGAAGGGATGCCAAGCAAAATGGACTATGAAAGCAGGAGATGGGGGAGAACAGAGGTTCTCCAGGGGTGTGGAAAGTTGCTGAGGAATAAAGCTTTCGGGTTGAGGAATTTGGTCTTCATGAGCTACTAAAGGATTCTAATAGAATGACTATCATCATAAGATCTGGCCCTGGGGGTGCTGCCTTGGCAGTGGCATCTAGGCTGGACAGAGAAGATCAGGTACCCTTTGCCACAGCGTGTCTTAGGGAACTGAGTAGGCTCACACATCTATCAGTTTTAGCCAGTGGAGTTGCTGAGGAGTCGTGTTTGCCTCTGCCCTGTTCCATTTGCACATGCAGTGCAGAGACTGAATAGCCCAGAGTGACAGGGAAGAAGAAACCTGCTGTGCCATGAGGAGCAGAACTGTTCTAAAAACTGCCCTCCTGCTGAACTACAGGGAAACCAAGGGTGAAGGCTGATAGAGAGAGAACTGCACCCTGGGCTCAGGCTGTTCCCTCAGCCAGAGCAGAGTCTCAGAAACGGCATTGCAAAGAAAAGTGAAAATCCTGCTGCTTTAGTTTTCTGTTTCTCATACACCTGGTGACCAAGATAACCAGAAGTAGGAGCCAAGAGATGTTTTCCTTTAATCAAGGTTTAAACCCCAGTTGTAACTGTTTTTTATACTG